ATATATATATATGAGTTTTAATTTATTACTTGTTATATCATATTTATGTTTAAACATTATCAAGCACTTTATTTATTTTGTTGAAATATTTTATGTCAAGTCTAAGGAAATAATTTTATGTTATCCTAGTCCTCTTTATCGAGAGTCATGAGAATATGACTCACCTTATGTGATTCTTGTGGATATATGTTTCATACCTTACATCTCTCTAATATTATTACGAGCGAAGTAAGTTATTAAATAAATTAGCATCTGCATGAGTCATGTCTAGTATCAGTTGGCATCAGAGCATGGCATATTAATAGGCATTTGCGTGCCACATCAATATTTTAGCATCTTTGGCATTCAAAATTGTCTAGTTTATTTTTTCCGGGCCAATTTTGTTTTGGATGTACATTGAAAATTAATTGGCTTAGGAAGACAAATGAGCTTATTGCCTTAGCTCAGTTTCAAAATCCAAATAGTCCAACTTGGTCAATAATACACCTAAGCCAATTGACTTTGGAATGTTTCAAAATTACTCTGCATTCTCTTATTGGTTTGAAGCACGATGGAATATTATTAATCTAGTTGGCTCATAATGGCTAGATATATTAATTTCAATATTTTCCTTTATTATTTCTTTTTTATTCAAATTGTTTATATATAGGAATCATGCTTAGAATGCAAAAGAAAGAGAAAAAGAATAAGATTTTCTTTGAAATATTGCATTATGTATGACTACAAACTCAAGTAAGGTGTACCAAGCACATCTTAGAGACACAACCAATATGGGACAATTCCAACAAACTTTAAAGGCTATTCAACTAGGTTGGAAGCAATATATGATAGATTGACTAATTTAGAAGAGGGTAATCTTCATTAATTCTAATGCCTCGCAAACTTGAAAATACAGCATGACCACAAGGACACCAAAAAACAACATCCCCTATCTCTAAGCCTAACTTTATACATATTGATGATAAGATTATTAGAGATATCAAAATTAAAGACCTAACTTTTTGAAGTCAAGATCCTAAAGTTTGCTTAGAATGAGAATCTAGTATGATCCAATATTTAACTGATACAATCTGTGTGAGGAGAGGAAGAATTTATAAAGATGAAGCTCATGTCTAAAGTTCATCTCAAAACTCAATATCTAAGAAGTGGTTTAGAGAAATTTGGTACTTGGAGAAATTTGGAGACTCATTTGAGGGGAAAGTATGTATCATTGTAATATTATGGGTAACTGCTAGATCAATGGTAGAGGTTAATTCAAGGTCGAGAATATTCATATGAATATATATCTTGATTTAATGAGCACTTAATATATTTTGGAATATAGAAAGATGGTATTACTAAACTATCATAATTTAGAGCAATTTTGTGTGAGGATATTTAGAGAGTGTTATTCCTGAGAGAGGTTGATATATAGAGTTTTTCTATAGGACCATGAGAGATTATGAGTATTTTCAAAGGCCTTCATTATTTCGTAGACCCAATTTTACATTTGTTATCTAATCGATATCACGAAACATCACTATAGGTGATTCCTCAAGTTCTATATCATCATGTAGTTCTACTTCCCATTTACATGCAGCCTTGAACCCAAGTGAGAAAGTACTCCTTAGCCCAACTCATGAACTATAAGAGGGACATAAGCTTAATTCTTCAAGTGCAAAGGATGAGTTCATATTACAACTGTCTGACTAAGTTAATGTACATTGAGGAAGAAGATATATATTCAAACTCTATTGATGGGGTAGATCCAAAAAGTTTAATTCCTAATTATGAGTTAAAAGCTTAATATTATGATGATGGTTATATAAATGACTCACAACACCATGTTTTTATAGCCATTGTTAGACGCATCTTTGCATAGCCTAAAGTGAGTGAAGATTGGAGGTATATCATAATATTTCACATGTTTATCAGGATATGAATAATGTTTGTAAGATATTAATAGATAGTGATAGTTGTATAAATGTAATATCTACAAAATTGATCTCAGCTCAAGTTAGTCCCTATAGATCATTGTAACCCTTACAATGTATCTTAGGTTAATGACACTTCTATCCTTACTAAAAAAAAAA